CGGGGGGGGGGGGGGGGGGGGGGTTACTTGGGTTAATGTTTGCTGGGTATGTGCCGCTAGCCTCTCAGAGCCCCTACCCCATTATAGTCTATTCTGTGGCCAATTATAGACCCCATCTTAGTCACTTTTTGGAAAATGTAATTTTCGCGGTCCCAACTTAGTCACTTTCTATTTATGCATCCTGACCTTATCAATGTGGTTTGAAGCGGCGGAATGTGAAACGGTCAATGCGAGCTTATTGTTCAATTTAATAAACAACAACTTTCTGATTTTTTAACCGAGAATCTTCCCATTTTGAATCCCTACTTACCCCAAAAATCCAAAAATTTGCGACCCATTCTAGTAAATCTATTGAGAATGCGACCCATTATAGTCAATCCAGTCGTGAAAATGCGACCCCATCCAGCGGCACATCCCTATTAGCCTCTTGTAAGAGAGTACCCCCCCCCCCTCCGGGTTGCTAATTAATCTACCCAGAAGTACCTGTTTAAGTATTAGCCAGGGAGGTTAGGATACAGTGACGGCGACAAAAAAGTCGTATAAAAGTGGATTTACGTTCTTATGCAAGCGAACTCTTCCTGAATTTAATTCCTAATAACCATATCCAAATTCAGAAAGAGAAAGAAATTTTCCATAAGACGTGAAACCGGACATTTTCACGTTGTAGTTGCGCAGTTGCAGCAGAGAAATGTACAAAAAAAGTGTGCTGCACGTGCGGAGTTGCTGTTTTGACTATTCTAGTTTTTGCTTTTTTGACGTTCTTGTTGTCATCGCCGTCGTAGCCATTAAAACTGCTCCCTACTTACATGGCTTCACACTGCCTTTAAAGGTCTGCTAAAGACATTTCCACACTTGATAACCGTACTAGAGGAGAGAAGTTGTTGGAGGAGAGTTAGTGATTGCAACGGAACATCAGGGTCATTGGAAATTTTATGGAATTGCATACTGGTAAGAACTGTTTATATGACTCATTATTTTCTTCCTAAGCACTTTTATCTCGAAATGGTATTGTTTTCGGTGTTTTTTCTCGGCTTAAAAGCTCTGTATTTAATTTAAAAATAAGTTCTTTCAGAATAACGCTCGGTCGTTTCAATAGGCTGAGAATCTTTCTAGCATCTTGAGAGTTTTGGCTGAATTTTTCACTTTTTAATTGATTTGCAAATTCTGACGAAAGGTGAATGATAGAGGTTGTTTACATTGAGGGGAAAAGATCCTAGCACCAGGAAGATCCTAGAGGGCGGATCATCCTAGCGCCATACGTTTTCTGTATTCAGTTTACATGAAGAACGTTGTACTTGTCTTCGCCTAGCTAAGAGGTAGGAAGATCCTAGCACCATGTAAACTGCTTTCGCCAAGAAGATCCTACTACTAGATACAAACCACATAAAAAGAGCGAGGTTCCCTTCAGTGGATAATCTTTAATCTTTAATTCCTTCTCTACTGTTAACCACATGGACCGACATTACTGAATGTAAACCGGACGAAAAGTTTTTCCACCTACAAGGATCTTGCTTTTGCCAGGATCTTCCTCCTTTCGTGTAAACATCCCCTTAATTAGCATCCCATTGTTTCAGTCATTATTAAACTCCTTAACTCCCCAGAGGCTGAATTCAATCTCTTCCCTGACGTTTCAGTCACATGAATGTTTCTGGCTTCTGTAGGGTTTTGTCGAATTTTTCTCTTTTTAAGTTGATTTGCGATTACGACTTCCTGTGTATCCAAATTAGCATTCCACTGTTTCAGTGCGATTCAGGTCGTTCAACTTCGCATTTCCCCTGAAAGGCTGAATTCAAATTCCTCCACTGAGTTTTCAGTCAGATGACTTTTACCAGGTCCTTCTGCAGGATTAAATCCGTGCATTCAATTGAACAAAATACCTATTGAATATTTTTATAAGGTTTTGGAGCACAGATACATACTTAGCAATGGTTCTATTTCTTTTAGAAAAAATTGTTTTCCAGTCCCCACTTTCTCTAACTTGGTTGAGGGTGAGCACTGTAAAACTAAAAGAAGAATCAAATTCAGAACCATGGTTCTTGCCAGAACTTTATTCAGGAAAAAATTCACGTGAACTTAAGGAGGGTTGTACTCATAGATAAAGATATATCCGTCCCTCGAAAGAGCCTCGAAAAACTAATTCGTGTAAATAACTTGATTAAAGCCACAAGGTTTAGCTATCATACTAAATGCGGCTTCACTTAACTGAAATAACAAAATAACTGCCGTACAGCTGACCAATACATTTATTAATCAACAAGGGAAATGCTTACTATATTTTCCACAGCAAAAAAAATTATTGAAATAGCTGAATTCGACAATTGTTTTCGTCGCACACAACAATTTGGTCATTACCTAGAACAGCTGCTGCCTATGGATAATTGAATGCCCCTAATTTGCCGCCTTTTGTACCGAATTTTCCTACAAACCTCCCATCTATTTCAAAGACTTGTATTCTATGATTATTCTGATCACAGACTAACGGGTGCTTTGACTGAGTCACTGACACAAAACATGGATAATTAAACTACTCGTCCCCCTTCCCTTCTTACCAAACTTGTACTGAAAATGCCCCTCCCTGTTAAATACTTTGATACAGTGTTCACCTGAGTCTGACACAATGAAGTATTCACCACAAAGAACACAGTGAACAGGCCAACTGAAAGAACCCTGCCCACCTATCTTCATTACAAACCTACCATCCGGGGTAAAGATCTTAATCAGTTTGTTATCTGTATCAGCAACATTAACATGACCAGTACTATCTAGGGATTAAACCCCAAGGGTCAGAGAGCTGACTATCAAGGTTTCCTATACCGCCAAATGAACCCAGGTGTCTCCCCTCCCCTCCCAATTCCCGACAGCCCTGGTTGCCCTGTGCCCCTAACACCGCTGACATACTCGCCTGTTTTTAGGCAGCTTTGTTTCCATGGCAATCGATGTTGTGTGCAGCAATTCAATAAATGACGCTGTTAGTTTGAAGTCTGCTCAAAAGTAACAATTAATGTTATTGTAAAAAGCGGATCGACAAAGATTGTATATACATGTACTGTTATCTACCATAGAAATGACGTCAAATTGTTCAAAACTTTGTAGTGAAACCACGCTCTTGGTTCCACGTTAGTTTCGAATATTTTCACGTCATCTATGACCGATAAGAGTTTCGATCATGGAAAATTGTTCTCCATTCTTAATTAAGTTCTTTTCTCCGACAATCGCGCAGGTGATTACTTCACCATCACGTCATTTCCATGGTCTGTATTCTCATCTACCATATCATAGCTCTCGACCAATAAGAAGGCGGGAAATCGTTAGTGTAAAAGACGATGCAATCTTTAAAACACGTAGTGCCGCGAGTGTTTGAACATCTTCCAAAACTCAGTTCCTGGAGTATTCCATTTCTATAGTACTGCCAAATAATAAATTTCCCTTTTTGATTGTGTTGTTTAAAAAATGACAACCAAGACTTCAGAATTGGAAAGGTTGGTCAAGTAAAGTTATTTATGCAAATAAGTCGTGAGGGTGCATGGATTCATTTGCAACAAAAGCTTAAAGCTGTCGCATTTACCCGGTGGAATTTTGTTTAATTGTTTGCTTAAAGCAATAATTTTGCAAATACGACAGCCATAAGCGTACATGTTGCAAGTACATGAATAGACTTATTGCTTTTTGCTGTTCTCGTCGTTGCTTAAGCTTCCGATTTCCACCGTTGATAACAGCACGAGAGGAAAGAAGATAATGGAGGTGAGTGATTGCAACGCGACATGAGGGGTTTTTGGTCGAACACAGGTAAAAATTGTATATATATCACCCCTCCTTAACATGCTAAGCAGTCTTTATAATCATTATAGTACTAATTAAGAATTTATTTGGTGTCAGGTTTCTCGGTTAAAAAGTTCCTTCATTTAAGAATAAGCTCTAATAAACTGACACTCTTTTGGTCGTTTCAGTAGGGTGAATATGTTTTTTCGCCATCCATAAGGTTTTTGTTGAATTTTTCATTTTTGAATTTATTTCCAGTGACCTCCCCATTATTAGCATAGCATTCCACTGTTTCAATCATTCAACTCCGTATGTCCCCAAGGCGCAATTCAAATCTCTCGCCTCAGGGAATTGTCGGTCAGATGACTTTTTCATGTCCTTCCACGAGAATATGCCTATTGAATATTAATAAGTTTTTCAAACACAAATAGATATTAATTTAGCAATGACGTATTTCTGTTTAAAAATAAGCTTACCACTGCCACCATTCTGTAACTTGGTTGAGAATGAATATTAGTAACAATCAAAGAAGAAATCGCGCGTTTATCGAATACAGAAGTTTATTAAAAAAATATTCAAGTTAACTCATTCCTTTTAAAACAAGTAAGTTTTGTACATAACTTGATTTAAGACCACACGGTTTTTCCTCGGACTAAATTTGGCTTCACTTGCCTACAATAACATTACAGCACTGCTGTACGGCAGACAAATGCATTTATTAATCAAAGAGGGATTTGCTTATCATATAGTTTTCTCAGGAAAAAAGAACAATTTTTATTGAAATATCTGAATTCGATGATTGGCTTTGTCGCACACAACAATTTGATCATTACTTAGAACAGCCACCGAGAATGGTTCCTTGAATTCTCTTAATTTGCTGCCATTTGTTCCAAATTTTCCTACAAACTTTCCATCTAGTTCAAAGACTTGTATTCTATGATTGTTCTGATCACAAACCAACAGGTGCTTTGACCGAGTCACTGACAGAAAACGTGGATAAATAAACTCCCCGTCCCCCTGCCCCTGCTCACCAAACTTGTACTTAAAATGCCCCTCCCTGTTAAATACTTTGATACAGTGTTCATTTGTGTCTGACACCATGAAATATTCACCAGACTGAGCACAGTGAACAGGACCATTTAAGGAACCCTGCCCACCTATCTTCATTACAAACCTACCATCCGGGGTAAAGATCTTAATCAGTTTGTTACCTGAATCAGCAACAATAACATTACCAGTACTATCTAAGGATAAACCCCAAGGAAAAAAGAGCTGACTATCAAGGCGTCCTTTGCCGCCAAATGAACCCAGGTGCCTCCCCTCCCAACTAAGAATCTGTATTCTGTGGTTTTTATTGTCTGCTACAAAAATATTCCTGTCCTTATTAATGGCTATTCCGTAAGGGTATTTGAACTCTCCAGCACTTTCACCTTGGTGACCAAAGGATCTTAAGAAAGTACCATTACTGTCAAACACTTGAACCCGATAGTTAGACTGATCAGCTACTACTATTTCGTCCCCATCACTCACAGCCACCCCCAGAGGATACTGAAACATTCCATCACTCGAGCCTTCCTTTCCAAAAGATAAAACAGGTTTGACTTGAAATGGTTTTAAAATCACAGTAAAAGGGCTACAAGAAATATGTTCCCCGTTTACCTTAACTAATAATTTGAATGTTCCTTGAACTCTGGGATAATAAGTGATTTTGTAGGTCCCATCTTTGTTATCATCTATTCGGACTTCCGTCACGCATTCTTGTCCTTGATCGCCCTTGCTCTCTACCGTTATGCGGTCCCTCTCATCATACCCCTGCTTTCTCTCTGCGTTTCTTGTGGTCACATTGAATTGAGCTTTACGCGCTACAGTTCCTTCTTTCAGTCCTGCACCTTCAGCCACAGATTCACTTGCTTTTGTTCGAAAAGCTTCTTCTAAAACTCCAATTTTTTCTCCATTGACAATATCGAGCATCTTCTTATTTTCTACAAAAAGATAAGTTTGTAGACTACTGGGGTCATACACAATAGGCTCGTTCTGATCCACTCTATGAAAGATTGTCTGTAATGATTTTTTAAGTTGAACAACTTCCGCGGTGGTACTTCGTTTTAAAAGTTTATCAGCTTCCTTCAGTGATAATTCGGTGGCATTTACCTGTTGCTGAATCGCACTTCTTTTTACTTTTAAAATTTCGAGTGACTTCTTCGTTTGGTTTTCCACAGCGGTAATAACACTTTTCATTTTAGCTTGAATTCTCTTGATCAAACCATCAGCAAATTTTTGGACATCTCTCCTGGCGATTTCACTTTGTTGAATCACTTTAGCACAGTCTTCGTCTAGTTCAACAATTACGTTCAGTTTTGCATCTAACCCTTCTCTCTGCGATTGAAGAATAGATTTTATTTCGAGTGTTTTGTTTTCGGCTTCTTCTTCGATTAATCTCAAATCATGACCTCCGTGATTCAAAGTGACGCAAGTTTGGCAAAGAGCCGTCTCGCATTCTTTGCAGTAGTATTTAAGCTCTTCTTTCTGGTGTCGCTCCTTTGAACAAAACACTGGTCGCTTCAATACATCCTCGTAGTCCTTGTCTTGGAACTCTTTCACTGCCAATACGCGGTGTTCCTTTTTTTCTCGCATCATATTGTGACCAACCAGGCATTGCTCGCAATAAAATATGCAACACTGGAAACAATACGAAGCTTCTGAACTCTTCTTGTCACAGTTTCCACATGTCACTTGAGTGCTTTTGCATTCTTTAATAGCAAGAACATCGATCAAGCCGTTCAAATAGAAGCTGGTTGGAAGATCTTTTAGATCACCGCTCGCAGGTACTCTGCTTAGGGTTTGACACTTCGGGCATTTAATGGCCTGTCCGCCGCCGCACGTTTCGTACCATCGATCCAGACACTTTAAGCAGAAACTGTGCAGACAGGAGAGATGTTTAGGATCCGTAAATAAGTCCGAACACACCGAACAAGACACTTCTTCTCGAAGATTGTAAAATAGCGTTGTAAGGTCCATGATGGCTTCAGGAACAAAGGCAAAATGACCTTCCATGCACTCCACACCCAACATTGAAGTCTTGTGACTTTCTATCTTTATCTTTTCTCGGAAACAAAGGACGACGAGCCAATCACAGACCGCTATTGTAAGAGTCAATTATTTTGAAACATAAACCAGACGTAAAATGATCAATAACAAACAAGAATCACTTCGTGAATTTTACCGGGACCACTTTTGTCTTGGCAACCCACATGGAAGGGTCGTTTTCATCAACAAGTTTGTCGGGCGACATGAAAATCTTTTTTATTGCAGATATTCTTTAGAGATGAAAACAAGGTGTAATGAATAATGTGAAAAGACAAAATGTTAGGGAATCCCGCATTTTGAACAGTTGAGAATTTGCGCATCTCGCTAACGTAAATATTGCGTGACAAAGGTTATTTGAAAATATTTTGTTTTGTTGCTTCATAAGTCAAAGCAGCGATAGACTTCCTCCTAATGAGTTTTAATTGTTTTTCGGAAAATATTTGACGAAGTTTCCTGCAGGGAGTGCGAATTGTAAGGTATTGAGACGCATAAATAAAGCTTGGCGCATGCAAGTTTAATAAGTTAAGATTTTTGCTTTGTCGTAGTGTACACAGTTCTTCGTCGACCAAGCTTTGTCATCGCTAGGATGAATACTGTAACAATATTTTGCAATAGACAGGGATCTCATTTATTGATAAGTGGTAAATATAGTCGCATTAAACGATTCCGTGTGCAAACTAATCGAATTAATATTTACATGGTTACAGTTGTTGCTCCCTACTTCAAATTTCTCAACCAGCGATACATCTCAGCGAACACTCCCAAAAGTAACGAGCCAGCGATATATCTCAGTCAGCGATATATCCCTAACAATGTAACTTTGAAAACACAGAAACGCGTTGCATTTTATGACCGGTGCCAGCCTTCGGCTAGGCCCCGGTAATAAGAATTGAGTCCTTTGTGAAGCAAGAATGCGTGAAAGCCATAGCTATGCATGAAGTATGTAAAACCAAGTTCGGTTGCGGTGTAGATAAAAGCAAAACAACTGTTAGCCTGTGTACTGCCGGTCCCGTTTCTCTCCTCAATTTTGTTTGAGGGGAGAGGGTGACTTGACACAGTCTAAACAACCCAGCGTGAAAGTACTATATATCATGTTAGTTAACCCACGGACTAATCTGGAGGCCTTAAAGCGGATTTATATTACTAGAACTTCTTCTCATTAGTAGATGTTCATGCTTTCTGCTTTCATGCGTTTAGTACAAGTCTATAGTATAATCTGATTGTGTCACAGGTCCCTAACAGAGCCAGCTATGTGGACAACACAGGATAACCTAGGCCCAGGACCTCTCGTGTCACGATGGGGATATCAATTCGTTTATATTTCAATCATCTTTTCTTGATCTTGGCATGTTTTAGCGTAATTCGTTTTTGCCCAGAGTCATTCTATTAAGCATTAGAAATATTACACAGAGGTTGTGTAATGACGCTTAAAAATTAAATTCCTTAATACACCTACTCAAAAAGTTCAAAGCAGATGTACTTTCGTACTTTTGCAGTATTTGTACTTTCATACTTTTTTGTTTTAGAGCGAGCGGGATTGATAAACGCCCACCTTTGGCTTTGTTTTGTTAGCTAAGCTTTTAAGTCCTCGAAGTTCGCTTCAAGAAAAAGTGAAGTAATAGGCCATTTTATAGTTAAAATTTTAAACGAGGCTGGAGTTGACCTTGTTTTGATACAACTCTTCTTGCTTCATGATGTAAATCATGTTTTTCTTATGCTAACTAGTATTTTTGAGTATAATTTTCATAAGAAAAGAAAGAAGGTTTGTATCAAAACAAGACCAACCTCAGCCTCATGTTCACTCAAAGGCTAGGACACTAAGCCCACAACCGTGAAATAGTCTATTACATAACATTTTGACGGGATACGTAGACTTCATTCTCTTTTTATTGCTATGTTTCTTTTCTTCAATCTAAAAAAAGGCGAGCGAAATTATTAGGATTTGGACAAGACGCGCGTGAAATTATTCCCTAATTTCACTCGTCACCATTTGATCACACATACAAATTATTTCGCACAAGTCAAATTGAGCATACGTCATAAACACAAATTTTAGATTGAAGAAAAGAAACATAGCAATAAACAGAGAATGGAGTCTACGTATCCCGTCAAAACGTTATGTAATAGACCATTTCACGGTTGTGGGCTTAGTGTCCTAGCCTTGAGGCTGAGGTTGACCTTGTTTTAAGACCTTAAATTTGGCTCATAAAGTTCAGAATTTTTCAGACTATTTCGGCAAAATACCTGTTAGAATCCTTCTAGTTGTTCTCTTGTGTGTTCAGGTTTTCTAAAGCGTCTTTTTTTGCCCTGACATCTTCATTCACGGCATTTTAAAACTTCGTCGCCATCTTGACACTGAGACGTACGGAAGGTTGCCATGACAATTTTGTAATTTCACATGTGAAATTACAAATTAGTATAGGTAATAGCATGATTTGTAGTGATATTTCGAAATTGTTATACGTAATTTAACGAGCCGTTGGGCAAGTAAAATTTGAGACAATTTTGAAATATCACAAGTGGTATTTATGCCACATATCACGTACAAATCATGCTATTATTTGTTTATACTACTACTCACATGTAGGTATTTCAAATTAAGCTGAAATACCACTGCTCTAAGCCAATCAAATTGCAGAAATTTCTGATGTAGTAGTATAAACGCTGAAATTTCGCGCCAAAATTAAGGAGTAATTCGTCACCTATGATGTTACTAAAGGGAATGAAATGGTTGCAACAGCTTAGGTGTTAAGAAACAAGAGACGAAACAGTCGTTTTCGACAAAACCTTTAAGTTTATTATTAGACCCCGGAGGAGAAACATTCTAAAATATCGGTATAAAGCACACGAACAGAGGCATTGTTTTGGCTCATCAAACCGTTAGTTATGTCCTGCTCTTGCTGCATTCATCATCGTGGTTATTTAAACCTCTGTACTTATGCAAAACGAGAGATTTTGACGTCATCGCTCTCTTCCCTCTTAAATCCATCACTGAATTTGAAATAACATTTTTATGGCATAGGTTGTCCAAACATCAGTCACTGTCAACAACAGTCCCATTCAGGGCTACGATCACGTGGACGATCAGACTCCTTCTACTTATAAAATATTTATGTTCATACGTAAACGATCAGTTGATTCATCGTTATACCAAATCGATAGTATAACCAGGTTACATCTTGGACTTGAGTGCTTCCTTCAGCTCAAGTTTAGCCACTGCCTCCAAATGAACCTCATCCGGGCCATCAGCAATGCGCAGACTCCGAGCTCCTGTATAGAAATAAGCCAGCGGTGTATCCTGGGATACTCCCTTCCCACCATGCACTTGAATCGCCCGGTCAATAACGTTACAGGCCATGCGAGGAACTGCGATCTTTGCCATAGCAATCTGCAAGAGTTAAATTGTGAAGTTCTCAATCGATGTAAAACAGTCTTTTTCAACCAATTCTCCGCTGGAATTTGGTGGGTTCAGCAGGTAAGCAAATTCAATATCATTTGTCATAGCAAGACAGATCACTGGTGAATTTTTTGCCATCAAACTAGTCTCGCTATAACAATACACTACTTTTACCAAATCAGACGTATATACAAGAAAAGGTTCAGCTGTTTCATTCGTGTTCACAGCTCCGTACTTTCTTTCTCACACAGAGCCGCCAGACAAACTTCAGGTTGAGATAGAGAACATTAGGGAGCTTACGCGACAACGACGTACGGCGAGGTCTACGAAAGCGTCACTATAAACGTGAATTCGCGCTGCGTCAAACTTTATCGCGCTTATTCCAACTCGTTCAATTCGCCAAATGTTGGCAAAATTTCTGGAGTTGAATTCTAAAACACTATATCAAAGGTCAGGAAAAGAACAAGAAAGTCGTTGTCTTCGTTCAAGTCCTGGACAAAACTTGAAATTAGGCACTTTCACCGGTTGTAGCTGTGTAGCGACGGCAAAGAAATGTACAAAAAAGCGTGATGCACGTGCAAAAATTTTGTTTTTCCAATCTAATTATAAACCCAGGGTTCGTACTCGTTTGAGCACCTCAAATTCCATGACTTTTTCCATGATCTTTTAAAACTTTTCCAAGATCTTAGGTTTAGCTGTCACTTTCAAACATTTTTAGGACTTTCTTTGTTTTAAGGTATTTCTGGACCTTAAACAGTTCAACAGACACAAACTCTGGTGTTCACCAAAATGCGTGCCGTTCGCGCTGTAAAATCACTTCTCTCTATTTTATATCGTCCTTGTCTTGTCATCGGCAGTAACTAATCTATCAAACAATTTTCCATGACTCTCAAGGACTGACAATTAAATTCCATGTCTTTCCAGGCCTTGAAAATGAAATGCTTAAATTCCATGACTTTCCAGGTTTTCCATGACCCGTATGAAACCCTATAAATCTTTTTTTTGTTATTTGCCGTTCTCGGCGCCGTCGTCGTTGCTTAAGCTCCCAACGAAGAACGCACGTTGCAACAACTAAGGAAGATCAATTCGGCTTGGTCACTAACTTAAGAGAGTGACTTAAGTTAAGTCACACTAGAACTAAGGGGTAACACACACGTGACATTCCCGACAGCCCTGGTTGCCCTGTGCTGCCAATACTGCTGACATACCCACCTGTTTTCTTGCAGCCTTGTTTCCATGGCAATCGATGGTGTGTGCGGCCTTCAGCACAAGCAGTCTGGCCTGTTCAATTTCAATCCTTGACAGAGCGATCTGCTCCTGTACCATTCCCTAAAGAAACATCAGTGATACAACGTTTTAGTAACTGCAATACATGACAAGACTCCCATGCGACGGGTTCCTTATCACGAGTGTAATCTATTGAGGTAAGTGGTATTACTACTTGTGGCCTTGACTAGTCCCTAAGCCTCGTTGGCAACACGTTGAAACGCCTGCTTAAACTTCTCAGCATTATCGTCCGGCGAACTCGTTTTAGCTACCAGTAGGATCCCATTGCCATCTTTGGCTAACAGATTCAGTCGTGTAACAGGACCTTAAACCTTCTACTACAAACCTTGTAGCCACGAGAGACTGCGAGTTTTTTCCTGTTCTTTATTTTTTCATGTTTTGCGTTGCGTAAAGTTAGTTTAATTAGTGCTTTTGATATTGCGCTTGGAGTAGTCTTTTGTTAGCCTTTTTTCATATGCGTATTCTTTCTGTATTCTAGTCTCGGCGTTGCGTTACGTAATCGTTATTGTCAATTTTTGTAAGTTCGTTTGGTTCATTATTTTCAGTCCAGTTTAGTATAAAGTTTTATTTTTGGTTCATGTAAATCAGTCGCTTAGTTGTATCCGGAGTTGCCGTACAGATCTTGTAAGTATAGTTTTTCCTGAAATTTTTGCTCGTTTTCTTAGTCATTTGTTGTACTTTAAGTTATCGTTTTTGTAAGGCTTTCGGTCCGCGTTTATTAATTCTATATTTTCTTTTTTTTTTGCTGTAATTGTCCTAGTGAATCGAGAAGTAAAAGTCGAATTCAAACTGTACAAGAGTGTTTTCTACAAACCTTTTCGGCCAAACGCTTTCCAAAGGCCACTCTCTCTAAAGACCGTTGAACCATAAGTTCGAGTGATCGTTCTGCTAGTCCAATTGAACGCATGCAGTGGTGTATTCGCCCAGGCCCCAAATGGCCTTGAGCTATCTCAAATCCTCGCCCTTCCCCTGTCATGAAACAAAAGCAACAAGAATAAAAACAAAGAAGAGTTGAATATTTTAACATTACACGGATGATGTTTTCAATTCATCAAATCTTCGCAGAAATTTGCTAGGGTAAACTTGTTCATAAAAATCCCCTTTTTAATAAATTAAAAATAAAGCATAAAAGTGAAAAAGTAGACCGAACCCTTGTGGATCATTATAGATAATAGGGGTAAGAGTCCACAAGGATTTCAAGTAAATGTGATAATAACTTTAGCTAGCTGGTAATATAGAAACTTAAATACACATTTTTGAAGTTCTAATTCACTTTACATGAGTAAATCTTCGTATAAATATTGTTCATAAAGACGAGCTCAAAAATTGAAGAGTTGGAGACTAAATTTGCCATGGATTCATCATAAATTCAGAATTAAAGTTGGAATTCACAATGTCGCCGATTTTCTTCCGTCTATGTGACTGATAGTACCATGAGATTTAACTCTCGTATACATACCCAGTATACGACATGAAAATGCCTATTTTCAGTCTTTATAAAGAACGCAAACACGAAACAATGAATTCCTCTGTCTCTTTCTAAACTTGAGTGCGGTCCCCAAGAAATCAACTGCAGGGAAATTCGCTTAAATTGGAAATTCTCAACGAATTGGAATAAACGCGGCAAAGTTTTAAAAAACCTGAGTTCATTTTAAAAGTGACGTTTTCGCTGCCGTCGCCGTCGTCGATGCTAAAGCGGCAACAAAAACGTTAATTCACGGTGTTGCAAACTTCATCGCCGTTATTCCATGTCATTCACTTTGTCAAATTTTTGGCGAATTTTTCTGGGAGAAATTTAATAAATCCTAAAGGATTGTATCAAAGTGCAAGTAAAGAAAAAGAAAATCGGTGTCATTTGTTTACGTCCTCCAATAAACGTGAAATTTTAATTAAGCATTTTCACGTCGTAGTCGTGCGAAGACAGAAAAGAAATTTACTAAATAGCGTGGTGTACGTGCAGAGTTGTTGTGTTGCTAATCTTAACCTATTCGCCACATGCACATCTCCCAAAATGCACCTTATTTTGCTTAAGCATTTTTTTCAATTTCTCTTGGGACGGCTTTAATACCCAGAAGAAATGAAAATCAAAGGTTATGCAAAATTGAGGGGGGCAAACAAGGTGTATTATGAGAGATGTGTAAGTGGCGAATTGCTTTTTTTGAAAAACGTTCTCGTTGCCATCGCCGTTGTTGTTGTTGTTGATTAAGCTCGGCTGTTTCCACAGTTGATAACCGTACGTTGCTAAAGGAGAGTGATTCCAAAGCGACATGAAGGGCACTGGAAATTTTACGTTATTGCATACTGGTAAGAACTGTTTATGTGACTCATCCTTTACTTACTAAGCAGTCTTAATAGGGCCATTTATACGAGGAAAAATAAGACGCGAACTTTCCGTATAAACGGCACATTTCGTCTAAAATAAGACGCGGCTTGGCTAAGACGCGTCTTATTAGATAAGACATGCTCGTATAAATGGTACAGTTCGCGTCTTATTTAAGACGCGTCTTATGTAAGACGCGTCTTATTTTTCCTCGTATAAATGGCCCTTATATTTCGAAATGTATTGTTTTCGGTGTTTTCTTGGTTAAAAAACTCCGTATTTGGGTAACTTCTATCAAATTAACTCTTTTTTAGTCTTTTCAATAGGCTGAAAATCTATTCTGGCATCTGCAAGGTTTTCGTTGAATTTTTCACTTTTTAATGGATTTGAAAATACAAATGATGACCTGTTGATCCTAATTAGCATTCCATTCCAAGAAATCGTTTATCGAATACAGAACTTTATTAAAAGAATATTCCAGTTAACTCATTCCTTCAACGAATAAGTTATATACATAACTTGATTTAAGACCACAAAGTTTCACCTCGAACTAAATGCGGCTTCACTTGGCGACAATAACATTATAGCACTGCTGTACAGCTGACAAATACATTTATTAATCAAAGAGGGATGTGCTTATTATATAGTTTTCTCAGGAAAAAACAGACAATTTTTATTGAAATATCCGAATTCGATGATTGTTGTACTCGGACACAACAATTTGGTCATTACCTAGAACAGCTGTTGAGAATAGATAATTGAATTCTCCTAATTTGCTGCCTTTTGTACCGAATTTTCCTACAAACTTCCCATGTATTTCAAAGACTTGTATTCTATTATTATTCCCATCACAAACCAACAGGTGCTTTGACTGAGTCACTGACAGAAAAGATGGATAATTAAACTCCCCGTCCCCCTCCCCTGCTTACCAAACTTCTACTGAAAATGCCCCTCCCTGTTAAATACTTTGATACAATGTTCATTGTGGTCTGACACTACGAAATATTCATCACACTGAACACAGTGAACAGGCCAACTAAAAGAACCCTGCCCACCTATCTTCATTACAAACCCACCATCCGGGGTAAAGATCTTAATCAGTTTGTTATCAGTATCAGCAACAATAACATTACCAGTACTATCTAAGGATAAACCCCAAGTGTCAGAGAGCTGACTATCAGGGTTTCCTATGCCGCCAAATGAACCCAGGTGTCTGTCCTCCCCTCCCAATTCCCGACAGCGCTGGTTGCCCTGTGCCCCAACACCGCTGACATACTCACCTGTTTTTGCGCAGCTTTGTTTCCATGGCAATCGATGTTGTGTGCAGCAATTCAATAAATGACGCTGTTAGTTTGAAGTCTGCTCAAAAGAAACAATTAATGTTACTGTAAAAAGCGGATCGATAACGATTGTATATACATGTACTGTTATCTACCATAGAAATGAAGTCAAATTGTTAAAAACTTTGTAGTGAAACCACGCTCTTGGTTCCACGTTAGTTTCGAATATTTTCACGTCATCTTTGACCGATAAGAGTTCCGATCATGGAAAATTGTTCTCCATTCTTAATTAACAGTTTTTTACGTCCAGTTCTTTTCTCCGAAAATCGCGCGGGTGATTTCTTCACCATCACGTCATTTCCATGGTCTGTATTCTCATCTACCAAATCATAGCTCTCGACCTATAAGAAGGCGAGAAATCGTTAGTGTAAGAGACGATGCAATCTTTAAAACACGTGGTGCCGCGAGTATTTTGAACACCTTCAAAACCTCAGTCCCTGGAGTATTTCATTTCTATAGTATTGCCAAATAATAAATTTCCCTTTTTGATTGTGTTGTTTGAAAAACGACTACCAAATCTTCCGAAATGGAAAGGCTGGTCAAGTAAAGTTTAGCCTGTTCCAAGCGTTCAGATAGTGGAGAGCGGTGCGAAGTAAAGAAAGCGATAAAAAGTAGAGGGGGACTGGGGAGAGAGGTGAGGGAGGTGAGGGTTCCCTCTCTCTCCTCTCCCCCTCCCTCGCTTTTATTTTTTTCGCGCTCCTTTTTACTTCGCACCGCTCCCCACTATCTGAACGCCTGGCACAGGCTAAGTAAAGTTAAGCAAGGGAGTCGCGAGGTTGCATGAATTCATTAATTCATTTGCAACAAAAGCTTAAGCCGTCGCATTTACCCGTAGGAATTTTTTTAATTGTTTGCTTAAAACAATAATTGCAAATGTGACAGCCATCGCGTACATGTTGCAAATAAATGACTAGACTTACTGCTTTTTGCCGTTCTCGTCGTTGCTTAAGCTTCCGATTTCCACCGTTGATAACAGCACGAGAGAAAAGAAGTTAATGGAGGAGAGTGATTGCAACGCGACATGAGGGGTTTTGGTCGAACACAGGTAAAAATTGTATCTATATCACGCCGCCTTAAAATGCTCAGCAGTCTTTATAATCATTACAATACTAATTAAGAATTTATTTGGTGCCAGGTTTCTCGGTTAAAAAGTTCCTTCATTTAAGAATAAGCTCTAATAAACTGACACTCTTTTGGTCGTTTCAGTAGGTTGAATGTTTTTTCGCCATCCATAAGGTTTTTGTTGAATTTTTCACTTGTGAATTTATTTCCAATGACCTCCCCATCCTAATTAGCATAGCCTTCCACTGTTTCAATCATTCAACTCCGTATCTCCCCAAGGCTGCATTCAAATCTCTCGCCTCAGGGAATTTTCGGTCAGATGACTTTTAACTATCCTTCCACGAGAATATGCCTATTGAATATTTATAAGTTTTTCAAGCACAAATAGATATTAATTTAGCAATGACGTATTTCTATTCAAAAAATAGCTTACCACTGCCACCATTCTGTAACTTGGTTGAGAAGGAATATTAGTAAGAATTAAAGAAGAAATCGTTTATCGAATACAGAACTTTATTAAAAGAATATTCAGGTTAACTCATTCCTTTAACAAGTAAGTTTTGTACATAACTTGATTTAAGACCACACGGGTTTTCCTCGGACTAAATGTGGCTTCACTTGCCTACAATAACATTATAGCACTGCTGTACAACTGACAAATACATTTATTAATCAAAGAGAGATTTGCTTACTCCTTTCCTCCGGGAAAAAAGGACAATTTTTATTGAAATATCTGAATTCGATGATTGTCTTTGTCGCACACAACAATTTGATCATTACTTAGAACAGCTATCGATAATGGATAATTGAATTCTCCTAATTTGCTGCCATTTATTCCAAATTTTCCTACAAACTTCCCATCTAGTTCAAAGCCTTGTATTCTATGATTCTTCCCATCACAAACCAAGAGGTGCTTTGACTGAGTCACTGACAGAAAATATGGATAATCAAAATTCCCATCCCCCTCCCCCTTCTTACCAAACTTGTACTGAAAATGCCCCTCCCTGTTGAATACTTTGATACAGCGTTGAATTGAGTCTGACACTATGAAATATTCACCACACTGAACACAGTGAACAGGCCAACTAAAAGAACCCTGTCCACCTATCTTCATTACAAACCTACCATCCGGAGTAAAGATCTTAATCAGTTTGTTACCTGTATCAGCAACAATAATATTACCAGTACTATCTAAAGATAAACCCCAAGGACCAGACAGATGACTCTCAAGGCTTCCTTTGCCGCCAATTGAAC